ATTTTTTAAAATGACAAACTACACATGAGCCATAAACTTTTCCCTTTGTTTTACTATTCAAGGTGGGAAAATAAGAGGCTTTTCTTATGTATACTAAACTAATTCTTTTGGTACGAAAAATGGTTAGACCAGACCAGACTAGGCTAGCCCAGTTTGTCCTTGGGCCACATCCTTTATCCACGTTCCACAATGTTCCCGAAGAAAAGAAAAAGAAAAGGAAATCAATCAATAGAATAGAATAGAATTATTTGAGCACTACACTATGTACAAGTAATTGACGAAAATCCCCAGCTGTCCTTGTCTACTAATTAAGCTTTCCACTAATTCAAACCCTTCTACCTTCTTCTTTTTCTTTCTTTCCAGCAACTAACGCCCTTCTGCAAGACCTTTTTCTGTTTCTACAGTGCTTACAATGGCGGACTGGGGCCCCGTCGTTATCGGAGTTGTACTCTTCATACTGCTTCAACCAGGGCTTCTGTTTCAGCTTCCAGGAAACAACCGACAGCTGGAGTTTGGAAGCTTGAAGACCAACGGCAAGGCCATTGCGGTGCACACTCTTATCTTCTTTGCTCTCTATGCTATACTCATCCTAGCTGTCCACGTTCACATCTACACCGGCTGATCTGATGCACTCTTTGTTTTCACCAATTCAAGATCCATGTATCTCTCAGGTTTTCTTTTTGAGTTATCTTGTCCTTGTTTTTTCGTCAGATCCATGTTAATTACTTACTTATTAATTATAATGCAACTTATTGCATTTTAGTCGTTTCTAATCTCGAAGTAAAAAAATAAATAAATAAAGCCAACCGGGTTGCTTGCAATTGTTCAAAGACAAATTTACTTTTGTATATTATATATAGACTATAGAGTAAGTTAATCATGTTAATAGTTCCTAGTTACAACTTCATAAAATCAATCAGAATGTACGTTTAGACAAAATAGATCAAATCTGGAAATGATAAAAAAAATTTATCCGAGGAATTGGAAACCTATACATAGATAAAAGATTCATGTCTATTAAATGGGGCTCAAAAAATCAGTGCTCGTGGACTAAGACAAATCTGAGTAGAAAATTCATTTTGAGTTGCCCAAATTGGTCTTTCATGGTGTTGTTGGGCCATAGAATTCGAAGTTGTTTGTGCTATTTCTAGGTGCCAATGAATTGATTTGCCTTTGGAAGGTGAGATTGATGACCCGTTTGAGTATATCAATCCTAAAATATTATGTGATCCTTTGGACTATAATATTAGAATAAAGTTCATTTGTTAGATAATGTTTGACGTCTTGGTTGACATACACTCGCATACGCGTGAATAAAAATTGCCAACAAATGCTCCCCTCCCCTTTCTATTTGTGATATTATATCAAGACTTGTGGTTTATCTGAAAAGATCAACTTAGATAAAAGGAGTAGGCTAATATTTATTCAATGTAAAATTCATCCATCAACGCTTGCAACAAAACAAAATTACGTATGCTTTGTAATTAATAGTCATGTAATATTGTCTATATACATATATCTCTACGGCTGCATTTGTTGAAGCCTGAACCTCGCTTGAACACTAGAGATATAGCTTGCAGCCTTTGCATCAACAGCCTCATCTGCTGCTATACCATCAAACTTGGCATATGAATCATCGGGTACAACAAACGTAACCTTTTGCTGTTGAGGAAAAACTTTGTCCTGCTTCTTCAGTATGAAAGCAGTATGCTCCTCTCCAATTCCATTGGCATTGAAAGAATTAAATGGATCAGGGGTGGGCTTCACTTTGGATGAGGAAGCGGCTTTGGCTGCTCTATAGAAAGACATAACCAGCTTTGCTTTCTTGAACCCTCTGTGCTTATGGTTCGACTCCATTTTGTTTTTGTTTTTTCGCCTTAATAATGTGTGACCGACTAGTTTTGTGCAGACAGAGGGAGCTCTATATATAAACGTCCTACTTGCCAAGAGATTAAGATGGATAAGTGTTTAGAAAATTGTGGATACGGTCCAATTATTTATTCGGATCTTTTTAATGCTTTTAAGATATGGAGTACTTGTTCGCTGTTTAGTATGTTACTGTTTGACTGAGTGCTTTAATTAAGAGATGGATATGTAATTCGAATTGCAGTACTATATGGGTGGGAGTGGGAGGTTAACAAAATTCGGTATGCATACTATGTGGATAATTTCGAATTTAATGATTCCTCTTGTAATATTATTACAGCATCAACTTCTCCATAACTGTTCTGTTTGGTTGGAAAAAGAGGTCCCCAAAATATCTAGCAAAAATAGAATCCCCATACAGTACATGGAGTGCTGATTCAATTGGATTTATACCTAAAACGACCAATAAAGGAGTCCATAATGGATAAGAATGGGCGTCCTTTTCAGAACTCGAGCATTTCCAGGAATATGTGAGATGCTGTGTTTAATAGGTAATTAATTCAAAGCTACTGTTTCGTTTGGAGCTGTAAAAAACCTTTGTTTCAATTCGTTTTCTAATTTCAAACGATGAAGGGAAGCCAAAAGAATACTTACTATAAAATACGAAGTCACAATTTCTTTGTCGCTTAGCCAAAAGATAAATGTTTATTGAATAAACATAAATTCGTGAGTTTTAAGAGAAGAAAAATTCAAATATTGGACGAGTGAGAGCTAAAGAGAAGAAACACGTCGATGAATACTCAACTTTTCTAAAAAGGCCTCACCTTTGAATAAAGATTTGATAGTCCGAATTTATTCTTTAATTTCAAGTAAATTTGATATCAGAAAAGAAAATATTGTATGCATTTGAATTGGAATTTGAAGGGGCAGAAAGCATATTTACCCTCGAAAACAAGGTCTTGAATTACAAAAGTCGAATTGTTACAAGACAGAGTTTTTAAATATGGACAGACCAAATGTTAGTACATTATTTTTGAAGGAAAAAAATGTTACATGCAAACAAATTTTTGACGGAAGGGAAGTTAACAGTCAACTATTGAAGGCTCTAATATTTCAATTTACACAAGCCTATTGTCCCATCTTCCTTCGAGAAAAACAATGAAAATAACTTTATTTTACTACAATGACGGTACAGTCACATAATTTCACTCCAAAGAAACCACGCCTCATGTTTGAGCCTCATTTTCTAAAAAAATATTTTTCCTCAAATACATTTTCAATCATAAATTCTCGCGTTGAAAACAAATTTTCACTTAAATTCACAATCTTTCATACTTTTTAACCATACATTCTTCAAACTAACCACTATTACAAAACTCATTTTTCATTAAAAAAAATAAAAATGGGGATAAATTATTTTCAATTCCTTATGCATGCAATCGACTTGTTACATTTCAATGATCCATTAAGCAATGTTACTTAAAGTCATGCTAAATAATTAATTAGTAGATAAGTTTATGACTGAATTGATGTGACATATTATTGCTACACAAAGTTACTTATTAAATCATTTCGCGGTTGTCTTATCTACATACATATCCTTCACTTATTAATTAAATTACATGGTAATGCACAAAACTCGATCAAAGTTCATACCATTTGAAGACTTCAAAAAGCAGGATAAATTTGCATCTGATTGAGAATTTGTTCGAAATTGTCACTAAGTTTCTCTACTGGATGAATGTGCATTCCCTCGTACGTAGTGATAACAATGCCTTCTTCCATGGATTCTCTTTGCACTTGCTTCTTAACATTGCACCCTTGATGAGTGCACCGATAGTAGCTTCTGTAAACAATAAATGGGATTCATCAGTTCATCTCCGTGATACTTGTTTTTTTTGGGTAAATAAAAGAATTGTTGCATTTAAACCAAATAAAAGTGCATATTGATAATTTAGAGTGACATCATGTGTGCATTGGAATGCTAATTAATTCATGTAGGCACACTAACTTCACCAGAGCAATGCTATCTATCCCCGGTATTAACACCAGTGCATAATGGAGTCCAATCCATACTCAACAATTGATGATGTATAAATCGTGATGTTGAACACTGGCATTATTATTCGATTTCACCACAGACCATCCATAGCTCCACAATAACTTCCGATCCAATCTCTTCTCACATAAACAACATTACCGACAACTTCTCAACAGGATCCAAAGGCTAAGTCACTTCACAAACGTGGAGGAATGGACAACTTCATTCATGAAAGTAAGTTAATTTTTCTCAATAAATCAAATGTGCAGTGACACATGCAACTCTTGATAAATGCTCACAGTTGCATTCTCAAACTCTGTTAAAATTAAAACTAGAAGCAAGCAGACGTATCATAATCTAAATTGTTAAATCCATCGATTCTTTTGTTTTATAGTGTTTCTATCTCAAATTGAGGAAATCCTTTCATTATTTATATTTCATGCATATCAGTTAGTTCATACTTGTTAACATTAATAATGGTCAGAATGTAACTTGTTAGGCACAAATTTGGTGTCAAACATATTAATGTGGTGAAAATTTATTAATAGTAGACTCTTGCATCTATAGTCACTTTTTTATAATTATTCATAATCCAAAGGCCATGTATGCTAAAAGCCCATAATATGGTTGTACGCATTCAATATAACCATGGCAGTAAAGGGTAGAATTGTGTCCAAAAATGGCGCAGCCATAATATACATAGTCACGTATCCTTCCATCTTTGTCCTAGATAGTAATTAATAGTTGTATTTCATAGATAAAAATGAACTAGGAATGGTTTAAGTTAAATAGGAATATCAGCCTCAACAACCTATGATAAGGGGAAAAAAACCAACAAATGATTTGCAATTTGTAAATGATTAGCATCAAAAGAAGAATCACAAACAAGAAGATGAAATCAGATCAGGAACGAGCAGAAACCAAATTTATTAGAACAGAACCACTTAATTTTACGTATATATATGTGGGAGCAAATAAAACCTCTGAACATTGATATCTGCTAAATATGACACTTGCATGGTGATTTTATGCTTTTAGTAAAAACCAGTGGAAACTTCAGTCCCCTCATAATAGAATCTATTTGCCCATTTCAGAGAGCTAAAAAAGTAAAACAAACTTATATATACTGCTTTTATTACCCTAATTTCTGTTGCGGATAGAAGAAGGTCAATATTATATACGTTTCAATGGAACAATCGATTTAATAAAACAAAGTAATTCATTAATCAATAATTAAACAAAAACGTGGACTAATATGAATTTCTTGGAAGAGATTACCTTGGAAATTTTTGGTTCTTCACGGCCTTTTGGCCATATTTTCTCCATCTATAGCCATCATCCAGTATATCAACTTTGCTTCTTGTTCGAAAAGCAATTCTTGGTTTTCTGGTTTTCTTCTCATCGCACTTTTTCTTACCAGATTTAACATCATTTTCCATCGTTACAACGCTCTTACTAAAAGAATGATCATTCACTTGTGCTATAGGAAAATTGATCTGCCTCTTTAATCCCATATATCTATCCGGGGCATTACTGTTATAAAATACACCATTTAGGGCATTATCAGAGGAGAAAGTTGCAGCTGCCACAGTGGTAGACGAAGCAAGAAAATGAGTTGGATGATTCTCCATTAAAAGAAAATTCTTTTATATATGTGTGGACAACAGAAAGGAAATCCAAGAAATGAGTATAGAAGAATTAAAAAACATTAGAAGTAGGTCGGCTTGAAGGTGAGCAGCCAAGAAGGCTGGGCAGGAGATCTATATAGTACTGTAAAATGAGCATATGTCTATATTATATATAGGCATGAACAAGAAGAGAGATGCCGTATACAAAACGTCAAATGTTTCAACGTAAGAATTAGAAGAAAAAGTTCAATGGAATTGTGAGTCCAGATACATGAGAGAAACTGATAAGGTGGAAAAAGGGAGGGAGGGCGGCTTCATCATTAAGATAGAGACTTCCATTGGTGGCCGTAATCACTGATGAAATAACAACAGTAGACAACAAGAATTAGCTTATATATATATATATATATAACAAATTAAAGATGACGTGTATATATAGTTGTAATGGTCGCTCTCTTACCTAGCTATATCTCAGTGCATGCCACAATTTCAATAGCTAGACAGAAACTTTATGTCTTGACTCATTGTAATAGTAAATGAATGTAAGTTGATGGAATACAGAAAAGAATATTACAAAAGTAACACTTGCGTCTCAATCTAATTATAATTATTTACATTTTTTTTTCGTTTTTAAGAGTAATTAATTAATGGTTGATGGCTGTTTGCTATGAATCTTGTGATTGCCTATTTATGCAACACGCATCTTAAATTTACAATAGAATTTTCTTGTTTTATAATACAAGATTCCCTTTTTTGGTTTGGCTAACAATTAGAATTTCAATAAAAAATGATGAAATGTGTGATTTGAAATGAGTTTGGGAAATATGAATTTTTAAAATTGGGGCCAAAGAATATTTGTTCATGGAAAACAGAAGCTAAGATTAGGGCTTGAAATATTCTTGGTGGATATAATATATGTACATAGAGGTGTCCATACCCTTCCATGGGGTGGAGCTCATAAAAATGTGGATCTCACCCCATGTGAGGGGTATGGATACCCTTATGTACATATATGAATAATTTCGAGTTTACAGAATTCCTCTCACAGAATTCATACAGGAATTTAAAATTTATTTCACATGGGGATGGCCCCACATGATTAAAATAATTCCAAAAACCTCCCCCCACCTACCTATGATGTGTGTTGTCGGACAGGTACAGAAATTTAAATTCTTGTACTTGTAGCTTAACTTGTACATATATTATGTACACCAAACACATCCCGAAGGGTTTTGGACCACGTGAATTAGAATGTTGAAAGAGGACCATCTATTTGGGTAGGAAAAATCACTATTTAGACACGTTAAGCCTTGTTTGGTATAGATTTAACAATCACTATTTTTTTTTATTAAAGTCAAGGTCAACAATTAATTTTAACTGCATATTTTATGGAATCCATAATTTTTCAACCACACATCTCACCCAACTTTTATCAAAATCTGTAAAAAATCTTATTTTAATACATATCAAACAGGGGCTAAATCATTATTTAAAACAAATATTTGAAATATCACAAAGTCAAACATTATTGCTTTGCAAATGGAACAATTGGATAGTGCATAATAGTCTTGAAAACCAAAATTATTATTATTTTTTGATAGTTTTGTTGAAATATCCCAATTTCAGATCACACATTCCAGCTCCAGTAGGTTCACGTGCTCCAGCAGTTGAAGATTCCATCACCAGATCACGTTCAGCATATGGCTTTCTCCTTCCAGCCTCTTCTAGATCTTTCTTTCTGTTAGTTTGTTAGATAGTTTATTAGCTATATTTCTCTATAAATAGACTAGTACGTAATGTAATTTCTCAAGTTGAATGAATGAATCTTCTTCTTCTTCTTCTTCTTCTTCTTCTTCTATATAAATAGACTAGTATGTAATGTAATTCCTCAAGTTGAATGAATGAATATTCTTCTTCTTACTTGCAATTTCCAGCACGCACTATCCTTTCAATTTTCAGTTTCTATCATTTTATTTTCTTATCATGTTTAGTGTTATTTATTAGTGTATATCAAACCTGCACATACTTATTTACGGTGCTTCAAAACAAGCAACCAATATACGTCTCCACCAATCACTCATTGTTGAACATTGTTAAAAGTGAAATTTCCGTCGAACATTGAGAAAATTAGTACATAAAATTAATGAAATTTTTTTTGGCAAAGTTTGACACACGCACACACCCAGAGAGAGAGAGAGAGAGAGAGAGAGGAGCACATCTCGACCACTTAACTAAAGAACGTAATAAATAAAATTTAGTGGAGGCGTTTAATTAACATATAGGATTTGGTACCTCTAAATTTCAGCATTTTTTGAGTGTTGAATTGAATTATTGATCCAGTAATTTTGATTATTGAACAAGCAAGATACAAGATTATATAGGCAAACGTCTCTCTTTGGTTAAATATATCCAGATTAGTTTATAATATCTATTTTGACAACAAGCATGCGCAGAAACTTCAAAGCTGTTGCTATTAGAAATCAAAATTGGTGGTCCAATGTCATACGAAAAATCAAAGGTAGAAATAAAGAAATTTTGACCGCGTGTTGTAATTCTTTTCTACCTGAAAAATAAATAGGGAAGGTTCTATTGAGAAATGTTTGTGTCTGGTGGGTAGGGAGTATATCTGTGAATCCTGGCTCAATTTTTTCCAACGAGTTTGACGGCCCTAAAATTTCTGCACAATTGTTTAGTATGTGAATAAGTACTATAAACATGGAATATATATATAAATTTGGTTTCTCTCTAGCAAGAAGAACAAGGCATCAATTGCCTAACTCTTAATTCGGAACTGCTCCATTCTAATAATCACAAAAGTTACTCAATCTTGTCTAGGTTGCGTATATTTTATTCAAAAAAGGTGTGTTCAATCTTTTTATTATTTCCTATTGTATTTATGACGTTACTGCCGGAGTATGCCTCTTCTAGAATTTGGCTAATCTAATCTTGTTTTGTAGGTTATCATTGATTAAAATCATAGGATTATGACAGTGGTTGGATCCACGTCTTTCTTTCTAAGAAATATAGGCTAAACTGTGGATATTTGACAAAAGAAAACGCATTCACACGGGCTTTTCAAATTAGGATAATTTGCAATGCATAGGAATGAGATCAGGTTATCTCTATTATGAATCCACTAAATAAGTGCCTATCCATAATTTTACAATTCTTTATGTTCTCCACATGTTTAATAAAAAATTAATAATCTATTTTTCCATTCATTGGATATTGGCATATTGCTTATTATCGGTGTTTCGAAAAGTGTAAAACGTGGCTACGTGACAATGCCAAACTTCAAGTTTTTACCAGCCTAACCAGTAGGGACTGAACCAGGAATGTTAGCTTGTGGAGGCAAGTATTCCCTCCTTTGTCTGCATATTATTTTCCAGTGCATCATGCAGTGTCTAAAAGCGGCCATTGAAAGGGGAGCCTCTGAGGTATTCTCAGTTCTAACATAAACAATGTTTTTATTCTGGTAACTTTCTGATGACTATGGTCTAAATACATGCTTGTTTTTGTAGGAACTGGAATTAGAATTATGTGCACAGGATAGGCTTGGACTCTGATCAGATATCACAAGGATATTTACGGAGATATATCAATGAAGAGTGGGAAAGCCAAGATAAATTTTGGATATAAACACTTTTAATATATAATTGATACATATTTGTGGTGAGATTTATTATTTAATTGAATTAATTTTCTAATAAATTAAATAATAAAATTCGTAAATTCAAGTTTTGGTAATTTATTAATCATGAGGGAGTTATGATTGTAAAATATAAATTACATATGACTGAATCTTAAGTTGTCCGTGATCATATATAATAACGAGATACAGATATCGTTACTACGGATAGACCATCACGTGTTGTATTTCTTATTTGTAATGTAAGTAGTTGATCTCACAAGATAAAATGTGGTGACACTTAAATGAACACGTAGATATTTTGTTGTGGAAACATTGGAGACCCGTTGGGGAGATTCCACATGGATAACTATTTGAGTGCCAGTGGTTAATCTCTAACGTTCGATAGTGGAATTTGTCATTTGACTTAAAAGTCATTATAGTACCTTATATGAGGATAGTCATACTTTGGTAATATTGTATGTTCCTTTACCAATGATCGCTAATACGCCATCGTTCGGGTATGTTAAGAATCATATGAAAGTTGTGAATGATCAATAGATGATTCGTCACTCTTAAATAGTAAGAGATTATGATCAACATTTCATACATTTAAGTTAATAACGAAATCATTGGCCAAGGTGTATACATGAGTCGAAAATGAATTTTCGACTTACATTGACTTAATAGTAGGATGAAAGATATGATCGATAATTGAGATTGACACACATCTATATCTTGTAATTGATCGGATCATATTGATGAAGAGATTATAGTTTTATGATAAACGAATAAGTTTGATTTTGTCATACCACGTGACATTTCTCGTTACATGTATTGCCCTAACTATTGTTAGATGTCAATTTGAGATGACGGATGTGAATTGATAATAAATTGAAAATAGGTATTTTAATTTATTGATTAGATCAAAATAACAATTCATGTCAAAATTGAATTTTAACTTAAATATTTAAGATTAAATATTTTTATATTTTCGTTAAAATTGAATTTTAACTTAAATATTAAAATTTGACCATATATTGAATTTTATTTTATTTATCAGTTTTATCCTAAATTAAAATGTTAATTCAATTATAATTAGAGTTGAACTCTAATTTGAAGTTTAGGGTGTGTTTGAGTCACATTATTTTAAAAAAATATATATTTTGGAATAGTAGAATGTATTGAAAAAGAAGGAAAAGTTATTGATGTGATAAAAATATTATTTTATTGAAAAATATGTGATTAAAAATGAGTAGAAGAATGATAATGAAAATTTTAATGTTGCTCAAACAAGGCTTAATTAAAATTTGATTCTAATTAAATTGTCTCACCCAATTTTTTTTTTAATTAGAGTTGGACTCTATTTTGTATT